ATATATATATATATATATATATATATATATTTTAATTTTATTTTTGGGTAGTGGGGATTGAACCTAAGGATGCTCCTACTGCTGAACTTCATCCCCAGAATGAAGTTTTTTTTATTTTTGATTTTGAGACAGGGTTTCACTAAGCAGCTGAGGCCGGACTTGAACTTGAGATACCTCCTGCTTCAGCCTCCCGAGTTGCTGAGAATTTCTTCTTTTTTTAAAGATCCTCAGATGACATCAATACGGGAAGAGCGCCATGAGCTACATTAGTGGCTCTCAAAATTGGAGCACACATCAGAATTATCTGGGGAATTCAGTAAGATACAGCCTGCAGGGTCCCCTTCCCCGGGTTCCCGGCGCTGACGTGGCTGGGACCCGAAACACTGCAGATCCAAGAAGCCCTCAGCTAATGGCAATGCTGCTGGGCCAGGGGTCCCGCTCTGAGACCCACAAACGGGGTCCTTCCCCCCACCCCCCCGCAAGACCCCCGACCAATGCTGATTGGTGGGGGTTGGAGACAGAAGGTCACTTTTCTATCACAAGGACCAAACCAAACGTCAGTGAAATCCATCAGAATTCCCTTAAGGGTGTTCAGTTCCCATTTCTTCCCTGGCCATCTCATTACCTTAAAGGATGTCTCCCTCGTACAAGGTGGAAAACACAATTTCCTTAAGGTGGAAAGATTCATCAGCCACCTGCCCCCCCTGCACCCCCAGATCGTCCCCTTGCTAATGATCAGGCTCCAATAAATCCGCAGCTGCGCTCAGGAGTGTGGAAGCCTCACGCCACAGCCCTTCAGGAGAGCGGGCTTGCTGAGAGCATGCAAGGTCACATCTGGCTTTGAGGAATAAATTGCTTCTTTGATTTACCTCTGGTCCTTGCAACAGCTCAGAGAATTCAACGAGTTTCAAATATAAATCCAGAAGAAATATTTCCAGGGGGGTAAAAAAAATCCTGACTTCTTATCTGCACGGCTTACGGGTCTTGTAATATTAGGGACCATGGCAACACCTTAAAAAGGACCCGAAAAACCCTTTATTGACACCAAACTCTTGGTTCGGCTGATGGCTTTGAAGGCTGTACTTGCATTCGATAGAATCCAGGGCAGAAGTCAGGGAGGAGGTGTGGGTTCCCAGAAATGAGGATAATAATAGCCGCCAACGACTGTTTCCACTAGGGATCGTCCGGTGTGTTCTACATGATCAGGTGGATGACCACGGTAGCTCTGATTCCAAAGAGGACCAGGGTTCCAGCTTGGCCACCATCTGGGTGGCTGTCTCTGCCTTCCTATAGGCAAGGAGGTGGTAGAAACCTGGAGATACAGGGATCATGCCCAGCCTGCCTGTATTATTTGTTAATCTCTCATTAAGTTTGTTTTTTCTGAGTTCCACGCCAGGATTTATAAACTAAGGGATTATGCACGAAAAAAAAATTCAGTTCTATTGACAAACTGGAAGATGTGGCCCCTCTGATGGTTATGGTTTGAATGTCTAACTTCTCCAAAACTCAGTGAAATTCATTTCCTACTGCAATGACATTAAAAGGTGATTTTTTTTAAATAGGTGACATAGCATCAGGGCTTCACCCCTGTGGGTGGGACGAGTGCTGTTGAAGAAGGATCCCCTCTGTTCTCTCATCCCCTTCTTGCTTCTGCCATGTGATAGCACAAAAAGGTCATGGCCATAGGCTGGCACCTTGACCTTGGACTTCCTGGCCTCCAGAACTGTGAAAAATGAACTGACGTTTATTATAACTTATCTCCCTGTGGGTGTTGCATGATAGTAGCACAAACACAACTGTCTCCGTTCCTGTCTGGCACCCATGGGAGCCGAGAAGTCACCGCCCGCTCTGGACAGTCACCAACTCTGCAGGCTGTTGGAGATGACAGAACTCCTCACTTTGTTATGTTGGCATGTGTGACCTCAGGACCTGTGCACCTCCTGTCTGTTGTACTTGGAATGCTTTTCCAGAGAGCTGTCTGTTCACTCCTCCTTTCTTTCCAGGCCCAAGTGAAATGTCACTTCGAGGGTAGCTTTTCTTGATCTTTATATAAAATGTGAAGTCTGTCTTTTTTGTGCCATGCCTCTCTCCAGTGCTGCACCCTGGTTTGTTTTCCTTTGCAGAACTTTATTACCACTTGCTCTATTTGTTTATTGCTGACAGATAGAATTAAAAAGTGACTACAATCCCTATTTTCCACGATGCTCTGTTCTGATCCCAGGTCTCAGACGTCTTCGCTGTGTGACTTTGGCATACTTCTTCATCCATAAAATCAGAGCTGATGCATGCACTACATTCTAGAAATGGAATTTCTCCCTGAGTGGGCTGTTATGGAGTTAAGAAGGCTCAGAAAAGTGCTCAGTGCCAATAGGTAGGATATTTGTCGAAAAGAGAGGTGACTTGTTTAGGTCACTTGCCTGACTCTGCGAGCCAGAGCAGAGGTTCTCCTTCTTAACGCTGGTGTCCTAAAGTTAACCTGGAAGACTCGTGTGCACAGAACGTCCTGGGACTCACACATTCTAGAGTCAACTTCTCATATGAAGACTCCTGCCCACGCAGAGATCTCCGCTACGCGGACACCTTCAGTGTTTAGGAGGAAACGTGGACCAAGAAAGGACTGAGTTTAATAGGAAAGCCTTATGGGGAGGTGCTGTGGATGGAGCCCAGGCCCTCGCACTTGGCAGGGCCTGTACCCCTGAGTCACACCCCCAGTCCTACAATTGCTATTTTCAATGAGTCAAATTCTGTATCAAAGATCAACTCTTCCCACTGCAATCCGACCCATGGTTTATTCAACCTATAAAGCCATCTCTAGAGATGATTTCAGGGTGGGTTTCCTGAGATACCATCTCACCCACACACATACACACGTTCACATGTACGTGGACCAGTCAGTGCAGTGGTTGTGAGATTCAGCCCTCTGTCTGAGGTTTCCGTAGCATTTCCCACTAGACCTCCATATGTCCGCCACACTTCCTTCAACACCAACTTCCCAACCTTTATGTTTTCTTGAATACCGTGAACGAATACAAAACCGTATTTGGAAAAAAATCAGAATGTCTACGCCCCGTAGCTAGTTTATAGGATGTGGTTGGTGATTCAGATAGGAAACCGTCCCAAGCTCTCTGGTTTTCCTCATTCTGTTTCTATAAACGTGAAGATAATTCCTCCCCATCCTACGCCAAGCCCAACGGATCATTTTTGGGGGGTCAAATGCCCCTTGGTCTGTCTTGGCCTGTTTTACCCCCCCACCGCCCCCAGGCCCTACACAAAGTGATGCTGCCCAAATGGATCTCCTAGGTGTGCATTCCAGTGTTGGCTGGGGTCATCGATTCAAGAAGGGCTTTCTCGAAAGGTGTTACAGAGCTCAGGGGAGAGTCTCGGAGAGGGAGCAGGTGTGCCAAGTGGTGCCAACTAAATCGTGACCGTGACTCAATTTTTCTCTCTAAAGCCATCATCTCTCACGGCCAGTTCACTGAAGCGGACTCGGCGTGCACATTGATCCTCGCCCTGGCCAAACCCGAGGGCCCTCCAAGTCACTTAGCTCAATGGGCTTTTCACATCTGCCACACGAGGGCTTGCTGATCACCCGTCGAGCGAACGTTTTTGCCTCGTTGCCTGGACTGCTTCTTTCATTTCAAGCACCCGCTTGAAAATGAGCCTGGGCACGGGACTTGTGCAAAATTCCTGGGGACCCTGGTGGCTGTCTGCCTTTGACACTGCTTTTCCCACCGGTTCTAATGGGTATCACTGAGGCCAGGAGGGAGAATTTACTTCTGTTATTGTTTTTCATCCTCCCCTCTTGGTTGGGTCACATCAATCGTGCCTCCTTTTCTTTGCTGTGATGATCAAGGTCAAGGTCATCCTCCCAGCTAGCCTGGTCAGGACTCCAGAGTTGCAAAGGTGTGTCTTTATTCTTTCTTTCCTTCTTTTTTTTTTTTTATATAAAGCTACTCTTTTCCTCATTCATCTTCCAGCCTAACCCAACCCCGCTGTCTCTTTGGTCATCACAGAAACTAGAGTTAGGAAACGAGAGCTCTCTCATGATCGCCGTGAGTGTACTTCTTGGTGGGAAAAACACAGATAAGAATTCAGACACTGTCTTCCGGAAGCCCACAGTCAGGGGATTCACAAGCCACCAGCTAATTACAGTCATCCAAGAGGATGGTAAGGACTTCCAAAAGTCTGGTACAGAGAGCTCTGGCTGAGGCCCCGGCACGTGCCTGTAATTCCCAGCAACCTGGGAGGCTGAGAGAGGAGGATCGCAAGTTCAAAGACAGCCCCGGTATCTTAGCCAGGTCCTGCACAATTCCGTGAGACCCTGTCTCAAAAATAATAATGATAAAAATGGACTAGGGAGGTGGCTCAGTGGTAAAGTGCCCCTGGGTTCAATCCCCTGTACCCCTCCAAACAACAAAAAAAAACCCCCCATCTCCCACAAAACCCCTAGCTCTGGCCAGCAGGGAAGGCTTCCAAGCTCCGAGCTGAAAAATGAGCCCCTGCTTAAGAATGTCTGGGGGAACAGTCACAGGGAGAGAGACAGGGTCAGAGAACAACAAAGATACTAGAAACTTCTCCTTTTAACACCAAAGGTCAATGTAGTCCCAGAGAGCTCAAGCGATCGACCTAAAGTCACACAGCCAAGAGAGAGCCAAACTACAGGACAAAGTTAGAGGAGGTGTCCACATTTTAAAACTGAAATCTACAATGATCCATTTTATATTTTTTTTTCCCCTACCACCTTCCTAAAGCCTGCAGTCTCTGGGGAGCTGTGTCTCCTTTTTTCTGAAGTCAACACAGGCAGGAAGTGGTCTGCAGCTGGCACGTTCTGATAGCAAGACACCCTCTCTAGGTTGGCTGTGGCTTCCCGCCCAGCCTGCTTCTGCCTTTTAGATGGCGCGGGGGGAAGGTCTTGGCAATTCTTTCGTTTATTGAGTCATAGATGGAAGGCTATTTTGCAGGACCCCAGAAAATTCTGACTTCCCAGCGTGCCTCCTTGGGGGAAAGAAAAATAATCATAGGCTTTGGTTTTATAATCTTCCTTTTATAATGAAAACCACGGAATGGTTCATTGAAAGTTGACAGGCAAAATTGCTAAAAGAACCACTTTTTCTCTGGCGGGATCCATGTGAAACCACGAGAGGTCAAGAGCACTGTCCACGGAGCCCGGATGATGATGATGGTTTCCTAAAAGCTCTTTTAAATGTCACTTAGTCATGACTTTCCTGGGCTAGAAAGGAAATGGAATATGCGATGGAATCTATATACCCTACTTGTTTCCTTTCCTAACATCTCACCGTGCGGTAATCCAGCTGAGGTTCATTTCCAGTGACAGAGAGAAATGCTCCACCTGTCTTGGAACTAAGTCCCCTTCCGAAGAGCTCGGTCCATCAGCAAGGAGAAAGGAGCCACCCTTTATCTCCATGTAATTCTCATTCATTGCCTGTCGTTTTAAAATCCCTTGGAACTTTGCAGGACAAATATATTTGTCGTTCCTGACAATAGCCCTTCCCATACCGGAAGTGGGCATCATACTTCTGGGGCTTTTTGATTTTTTTTTTAACCCAGATTAAATATGCTCAATTCCTTCCTTCATTCCTTAGGGATGTTCCGAACCTGACTGCTGGATACGGTCTTGCTAGTGCATTCTCTGGTCTATCAGTAGGGTTGCTACCAACCCCTTCCCTTCTGCATGGGCCATTCTAGGCCTTACATCAAAAGCTAGAGTCTAGCTCCCCTGCCTCTGAGTCTGAGATGACCATTTTTTTCCTTTTTTATCTGTTCTAATTAGTTGCACATGACAGACAGGAGGATACACTTTGACACATCATTAAATGGAGGATAACTTCTCATTCTTCTGGTTGTACGTGACATAGAATCACACCGGATGTGTAGTCATGTATGCACAGAGGATCTGATTCATTCTACTCTCCTCCCCTTCTCTCTAACCCAAAGTAACTCTGTACTTTCCTAGCACCACCCCCACACCCCTTATTGTGAATTAGCATCTGCATATCAGAGAAAGCATTTGGCCTTTGTTTTTTTTGGGGGGGATTGGCTTATTTTGCTTAGCGTGATAGTCTCCAGCTCCATCCACTTGTTGGCCAATACCATGATTTCATTCTTCTTTAAGGCTGACTAGTATTCCATTGTGAATCTATACCACATTTTCTTTATCCATGCATCTGTTGAAGGGCACCTAGGTTAGTTCCATAGCTTGGCTATTATGAATTGAGCTGCTGTAAACATTGATGTGGCTGTGTCCCTATAATATGCTGATTTTAAGTTCTTTGGGTATAAAGCAAGGAGTGGGATAGCTGGGTCAAATGGTGGTTCCATTCCAAGTTTTCTGAGGAATCTCCATTCAGTGGCTATTTTCATTCTTAGATTTTAAAAAGATGGGTAGCTTTGCTTTCTTTTTCCTTGAAGCTGGAAACCGGGTCAGAGACCTGACTATCCTGAGATGGCCATACTCTGAGGAAACCCAAGCCGTCCACAGGGAGAGGCCTCACAGGACGGCGATCCCTGGCCAGATTCCGGCTCTTCCGCTCCATCAAAGCAGGTGGAAATGTGTCAAGAGGCACCTTAGCCCATCCAGGCCTGGGGGCCGGGGGTGCCCATGGGCACCCGGACCAGATTTCAGAATCATGGAAACTACACACAGTTGGTGTTTTAGCCACTGGTTTGGGGGAGGCTTATCCGGGGGAGACCATAGGAAGCTTTTCACGCCTGGTCAGGACTTCTTTCGGTTGTGGAAATAAGGCTACATCCATTTTCTTCTTTTTTCTCTAAATGACTTTTCTAAAAAAAAAACTCCCACTTGTTTTTCTAAATATGCAAAGCTTCCTGACTACAGGCAGAGCCGAAGCGATTGGCCATTAGTTATGGTGGGACATAACTGTGTCTGATTGACCAGTCCAGCTGAGACGGGAACCAAACAGCTGACAGGGGAAATGCTGATCAAGTGTGCCTTCAGGGTCCTTCAACCTCCGAGTCCTTAACCGTGTCTGATTGATGCTGCCTGAGCCTAAAGGTTAGGTGACACTGTGGCTTGGGTAAGTATCTCCCAAAGGTGTGGTCCCCAGCCTGGGGAACTAGAGGGAGGTGATGGAAATTTTAAGAGGTAGGACTTACAGGAAGGTTTTATGTCACTGGGGATGTTCCCTTAAGGGGACTCTGGGACCCTCGTCTCTTCCTCTCTCTCTGCTTCTCAGCAGCCGTGACGTGAGCAGCTTGCTCGACCATGATGTCTGCCTTGGTACAGGCCCCAAAGCAACAGGGTTAACTATTTATAGAATGAAAACCTCTGAAACTTGGATCCCAAATCAACCTTTTTCTCTTTATCCACAGATTGTCTCAGGAGTTTGTTATAGTAATGGAAAACTGACTAACAGGGGTGATTATCTAAATTCTGACAAATTTATACAAATTGGCCCACACCACTCTGGGGCAGAGATTCCTAAGGGGCTCGGAAAGCATCCTCAGGTAAAGGGAGAATGTGCATCATCTGATGCAGGGAAGGACACTGTCCCCACTTCACATTAAGATTAGGCGCCTTTGCAAAAAAAAAAAAGAAAGAAATTACCCACTTTGTATCCTTTGACTTCCGACTCATTATCCAGGGCCTTCACTTGATCCCAATTCAGGATAATTTTGGAGTCCGATGAATTCCATATGATGTTTCCGGGAGGTTGGCTGGGTGCTATAAAAAAAAAAATGAAGATATACGAAGTCACAGGTTATTAAATCTCAACGGATTCGGAGGGATCTCTCCTTACTGGAACTGAAGAGTGAAGGCCATTTAATGGACGATTGCACTAATCTGTGTCTTCAAGGTCACTGAAATCTGACTGAGATACCGCGTTGCAAATGGAAAAAAGATTCACCTGGTCGCCTAACATTTAGAGCTAAAAGCAGCAGCAGCCCTTCCCAGGGAGGAGAAAAAACATTTATCTTTCTGTCCTCGGGAGCAATGAATTTGGCATGATGTCCTCAAGGGTTCAGTGAGATGCTAAGGAGAGTCTGAAACCACATCCTGATACCAATTAGTATGCAAATGGTCACCGTGAGGTGGGGACAGGGAAGGAAACAGGGACACCATCTGATGAATCCCCCACCCCAAATATTTCTGAGCGAGTTTGTTATTACGTGGCTTTCTGGTGGTGACGTTGACGGTGGCGCTGGAGGGACCCGTCCCAGCCGAATTATACGCCTTGACAGCCAAGTGATACAGGGCGCTGCCTTTTAAATTGGTGATTTTGGTCGATGTCTGATTGCCCACTGTGCGAATTTTCCTAGCGTTTTCTTCTTTGTCATCGTGTCTCCAGTATTTAACCTGCGAATATAGAAAGATGCTGGAAATCCGACCCACGGGGGACATTTCCAATGTTATCAGGTAATCATTTTTTTTTTTTTTTAATGACGGAGTTAATTTTCTATGACCAATTCAATGAGCAAAGATTTCAGAACAAAGAGATTTGCATGTTCTGAGAAGTTACCCATAAAATTAAGAAAGCCTTCTTTTTTTGGTCTTTGGCTTTTTAAAAATATATATTTTTGTTTTTTTGCGTAGTTGTAGAGGGACACAGTGCCTTTATTTTATTTGTTTCATCTTTATGTGGTGCTGAGGATCGAACCCAGGGCCTCACCCGTGCTAGGCAAGCGCTCCGTCACGGGGCGACAGCCCCAGCCCCTGTTTTTGACTTCTTACTGAGAACCACTGTTGGTTGTTTTCCGTCTTTGGTTCGAGCTTAGGTGATGCTGGGTAAATCAGATCTGAGCTCATAAATGCTTAAAATTGCATATATCCTGAAACACCCCCCTAGAGTATACCAAGGACCAAGGATGGTCTGAACATTTAGTGCTTTCATTAATTCTGAGTCAGAAGCCGGGTCCCTAAAACAGACAGCTACGAATGGGAATGGAGGTCAGCTCCCGTCACAGTGTGTCCTTGAGACCCCACTGAGGGGTACAGACCCTGGGCACATGTGCTTGCCTACCTCATAACCTTCGATCCGTCCTCTATTCTTCTCCAGCGGGGAGGCCCAGAAAACTTCAATATCAGTCGCAGAAAGACTCCTGGCAAAGATACTGGCCGGTGGTTTGGTGGGTTCTGCAGAGAAAGGAATTCAAGTTATTATGAATCAATCAGCTGCATGAGCACAGACTTCTACAGACGATGTTCATTATAAGGGGCAAAGAATCCGTGGTTCCAGAAGGGTCCTTAAAGACGCCAGGCACAGCCTCATTCTGCAGAGAGGCAATGACTGACATGTAGCGGGTGGTGGTTGGGAAGAGACCACTCCAAAGCTTTTTGGGTTTTCAGTTTGGAGGTGAGTGGTACGGAAGGAACCCAGAACTTGTTTAGTTCAAGGATTTTCAAAGCCAGCAATTTCTTCAAGGTGGGACTTTTTTTTCTTTTTTGGTACCAGGGATTGAACCCAAGAACGCTTATCCACTGAGCCTCATCCCCAGCCCATTTTATTTTATTTTTTTTTTTTAAATTTTGAGATAGGGTCTCACTAAGTTGCTTAGGGCCTCGCTAAATGGCTGAGGCTGGCTATCAACTTGCGATCCTCCTGCCTCAGCCTCCTGAGCCACTGGGATTACAGGAGGGCACCACCGTGCTTGGTTGGAACTTGCTTAATGAACACTTGTCATCAGTAGTAATTCTAGTCACTGGATTATGAGAACAATAGAGAAAAGGAAAAAAAAAAAGACAGTCACCTGACTTCACTAAGACTCCAGAGAGCTGAACGGACACTAGTTTAGCTTCATGCTGTGATCTCCATGTTCTTGGACAAGATTCAGCCACGGTTTACCCAAGTCATTTGCATTCTCAGCTAAAAGGACAGGCTGGACCGACTGTTTCCCAAATTTCAGTTTTTTTTTTTTTTTTTGGCAGAGTTTCAGCCTGCGTACCATTTGTATATGAATCTTTCCTTTTGATGGTCTTTTTGAAAGAAAAATCGAGCTTAGCCTAGTTGTAAGTAATAACACTCACGACGTCTTGCATTTGATGGGATAGCTCTATATTTTTTCTAATGCAGCTGAAATCGATACGTGCCTCTTTGATACTTTGAAAAGTTCATTGCTTTTTTAAATTACATATTTTTATCTCCTTAAGCAAATATCAAAGTACAAACATGCATTTCCTGACACCACTTCTGTTTTTATAATCTGTCCTGGGTACTTCTCTCTTTTTTTTTCTTTTCATTTTGGTACCAGGGACTGAACACAGGGGTGCTTAACCACGGAGCCCCATCCCCAGCCCTATTGTGTATTTTATTTAGAGACAGGGTCTCACTGAGTGGCTTAGGGCCTTGCTGACTTGCTGAGGCTGGCTTTGAACTCATGATCCTCCTGCCTCAGCCTCCTGAGCTACTGAGATGACAGGCGTGTGCCACTGCGCCTGGCATGAACCACATTTTTTTCACATGATACTTTTCTCAAATCCAGATGTGCCTTTGATTCACGTGTTCCGTACGTCCTAAACCGACAGTCCGTCCTACATAGAAACTTGAGCATCGAAGAAACATCAGCTTTGTCCAGGAAACACACAGCGTACCTTCTTCCGCAGAATACACCAGGGTGGTGGGGCTGAAGGGTCCTTCTCCTTTGTTGTTGAAGACGCCCACTTTAACCTCGAAGGGAGAGAAGGGGCGCACGCTCTCATTCCTGAACACGTATCTGGAGGCATCGGCCGAGGCCAGCACCGTGAGCATCCAGATCATCTTCCCATGGGGCCGGAAGGCTACCACGTACCCAAAGCCTCTGCCGTTCTGTAACTCCTCGGGCACCGTCTGCGAACAAAAGGAGGTGGTGGCCTTCAGAAATCCCAGCAGTTTGATTCCAAAGTCAACACACAAACCTGATTGTCTACCTTCTTCCCTTCTCTGTTTCTCATGATTATACCAAGATTGTTTTTTTTTCTTTTTTTAAATTTAGGGTTGGCCAATAAGCTACCTAACATATTCAGGAGATTGGACATTGACAGCAGGCTTAAAGCACTCGATGACAATCTGCAGGGGACCCTTGGGCTCCGAGGGTCACTCCCAACTCTGAAATAGTTGGAAATGACCTTGAAAGGAGATAGTTGGGGGAAGTGCCATGCCCCACCCCAGCATCTCCCTCTAGTGCCAAAGAGGGGGAAGGTCTTCACTGGTCCAAGGGACCTAGACCATCTTGGCATCTCAGGCAGGACCTTCCTGCTCAGAGGAGAAGAGCTCAGCCCGAGGGTGGGGGGGGTGAGGGGTTGCTTCCACTGCTGGGGCTCGGAGGAGAGGAAATGATTTCATTTTTACAGCCACAGACTAGAATCTTTCAAAAACATTAAAGGACCCTTTTCTGAAAGCTCCTCACCTTCTCTCTCAAAATCAATTTTTAATAAATTGGTGACTAACCTTCCTCCAGGTTGTTTTTTTTTTTTTTAAATGCCTCTTAATCCAGCAGCAAAACCAATTGCCGGGCGAGCCTGCTGGTGCTGAGCTAAATCTCTGGCTGGCAGACGCTTTAAATCAATTGACCATGTAGCAATTCAGGAAGAAAAGAAAACTCTGGTTTTCTCTGAACCTTTTTCTTTAATTTTTTTTCTCTCTCTTTCTCTCTCTCTCTCTCTCTCTCTCTTTTTTTATAACTTGTGTTGGCTTCTCTTTCCTGATTGTTTTTTCCTGAGATGAATCAAATGAAAAAAAAAACTTGCTTCTACAATGGATGGGCTAGCACCTTCATTTCCTGCTACCCATTAGCTAGGGGAAAGGAAGCGCTGGTACTCGAATGGATTTTAGCGGCTCAAGACAGAGGGGAAGGCTTCCCAGCTACATCTGAAAGAATACAATGGCCCAGATAAATGCCCTGTGGTTTCATTTACCTCCCACGTTATAACCAGTTCAGATTTGCTTCCTCCACCACCGCTGACGTTGGCCGGGGTGACCTCAGGAACTGCATAGGAGACACAAAACAAGTCATGTCACACAAGCCATGGCAGGTGACTGCTGGGGAAGCCTGGTGGCTTCCTGGTGGCTCACCGCCAGCCAATACTCGGCTACCCACACCTTCAAGGACGTGAAGTGTACGTGGCTCTCGGTTACCTGTTTCCCATTCAGCAAGGGGGCATGTCTGACCCGTGGCTCAGCTCCATCCCCAGAGACCCAGGGGTTCCAGGGAGGAGAAAAGAACAGAGGTGCATAGGTCCCCAAGCTTGGAGAGGTGTTTATTAGCCACGTGGTGATAACACAAAGGGAACAGGGGAACCTCTCTGCTCAGGCAGAGCTCACAATCCAGGTGGAGGGCAAGGGCGGGGGGGGGGGTCGTTTATAGAGCCAATCCACGGCACAGTTCAGCAGAGACAGAATGAAGAGGAGCTGAGGTGTTCTGCAGAGCAGGTTGCTGGACGGGGCGGGCTAATGGCTTCTCAGAAGAAGGTGAGCTTTGAGCTGGGTGCTGGAGGAAGCGGTGAGCAGAGGGTGACCCCTGGCTGCTCACTGTCTTAACCTCTTTGATCCCCACTTTTCTCTGTAAAAGAGGGGGAAATCGGGCTGGTTTCCTCCCCAGGATCGCTGAGTGGAATTAATTCAAGTATAATCTTGCAGGGGGCGAAGGAAGCCTCGGGTTAGCTGGGCTATCATCACGTGACTGCAAGACTTCAGGCAGAACTGTCCACAAGGTCAGGCTGGGGTATGTAACTGGACAGTTCTGCCTGACAGCAGACCTCTGAACCCGTGAAGAAGGACTTTTTTCAGGGAGTAGGGACGAGGGATTGAACTCAGGGGCACTCAGCCACTGAGCCACCTCCCCAGCCCTATTTTGTATTTTATTTAGAGACAGGGTCTCACTGAGTTGCTTAGCACCTTGCTTTTGCTGAGGCTGGCTTTTTGAGATCTTCCTGCCTCAGCCTCCCAGACTGCTGGGATGACAGGCATGCGCCACTGCACCCAGCAAGAGTTGGATTTTGAAAGCAGTGCTTCTTGCTCTACCAGTGAACCCAACGTGGAGGACTCAACTGGTGATCACAACTCACTGCCTGCCCAGCTCACCTCCTGCTGGCCTGATTTCTGATCTTTTAAAATCGTTTAAGGGGAAGAACGTGCCAATACACAGACTCCTCTGGCAGGAAGAGTAGTGAAGAATTGAAAGTCTCTCCAAGGAGCAGGCACTGCTGGAACAGATGAGGTCAATCCCGGGGAGGGGGCTACTCACGGGCCTCTTCCGTCCTCCGCTTCTCCGAGGGCCGGCTGGGCTCCCCGATGCCAATCACGTTGGCTGCGACGGTCCGGAATTCGTATTCGACCCAAGGGTTCAAGCCCACCACCGTCGCTGTGAATGTCTTCCCATCAATGAGTTCTGGGACTGCAAGATATCAAAAGATGAGGTGGTTTCGCAGGATTCCCAGAAAACAAACAAACAAATGCAGACCCCATGTTGGGAGGATAGGAATATCCATCCATCCATCCGTCTGTCATCCATCCATCACCTCATTCAAGGCCTGGTAGGTGGTTTGATGGTGGCTGTATAAACTGCTATTACAGAGAGTAACCCCCGAGCTCTGTTCAACTAACACACTCAAATCAGATGCCAGCAGATGACCTCATAAAAATAAAAAGTCCTCCAAGCCTGAAGCTACTTGACTGGGATCTATTCTTAGGATCACCTAACAGGTTTTCCTGCATGGACTATATAGGCGAGCTTTCCTTCTGACAGCTATCCAATGGGTCAGGTAAAAGTGTTATGTCTGTTCTTACACAATCCTTACTGCACCCGTTTAACAGAAGCTGTAGAGAGATCAGCCGATTAGCAGTCAAGACTAGAAGTCACTGCCTAACTTCCAGATGCTTCTCATCTGTCTTCCTAAAACATTCCCGGGACTCAACAGAAACTCAGTGTTATCACGGAAGGCTGTTTCTGTGATCCGATTAAGCTAAAATGAAAAAAAAAAATTGGGGGTTGTTCAAATCAACAATTTATATAAATTGCATAAAATTGAGTCCCACTATATTAAAACTTGGAGGCCACACAGGTAGCCCTCGGGGACTATGGAAATGTGTAACTTTCTTACAGGAATTACCTGTCCATCTAACCTTCTTCTCCTCAAATGAATCTAAATTTAAAAATGAGACACTGACAGAGGTGTAAGAATTAGGACCCCAAAGCGAAATGATTATGAAACTTTAAGAAATATAGGGAGTACACCATAATCATAAAAAAGTATAAAAATTATTTAAAAAAAGGAAAGAAGGTGAAAATGTTGCTGCCACTAGGGATAGTCTGGAAAAAAATTATGCTAAAATTTGTAAATTGATTTTAAATATTTCACACCTCTTCATCCCCAAATCTATCCACCTAAACTGAGAGGCAGCAGTTCAAAAGGCTCCTATAGTCCTTATGTACTGCTTTCTGGAAAGTTATGCAGAAGCCTTACTAAGACTGGATTAAAGGCTGGCATATTACTGAGGCCCTAAGCAACTCAGTGAGACCCTGTCTCTAAGTAAAATACAAAATAGGTCTGGGGAGGGGGCTCAGGGGTTGAGTACTGCTGATTTCAATCCCCAGTGAAACTCCTTCCCCCCTCAAAAAAGGCCAGTGATGTGGCTTAATGGTTCAGCACCCTGGGGTTCAATTCCCAGCACCACACACACACACACACACACACACACACACACACACACAAATGAATGAATGAATGAATGAATAAATAAATAAATAAATAAAAATATAGAAAAAGGCGAGGGATGTGGCTTAATGGTTAAGTGCCCTGGGGTTGAATTTCCAGTACCAAATAAATAAATAAATAAATAGAAATAAGGTTGGCATAGCCCATGGCTTCCCAACCTACTACAGTGGTACAAGGATGATTTTAAGGAATATACAGATGCATGCAATTTTTTAAAAAAATAATCAGTTTTAAATTTGTGAAGGAACAAAGAAAAAATCCAGTATCAGACCTATCACTTCACAGATACTATTGCTTTAAGAGAAGCAAAAAACAAAACAAAACAAAACCCAAAACCCCAAACAAAACATGAGTCGTTATAGAGAAAACTATTAAGTTACTGACGGCCACAGCGGGCCGAGGTCTGGGACCACACTGCATCATTTGCAGTTGTCCCTTGGCTCCTGCCCCAGTTGGCTGTCTGTCCGTCACGCTGTGCTGTGGAAGTCCCCGAGAGACACCCAGCACCCAGCACCCAGCGTGGTACCTGTACTGACTGCCTGCCAGCCCACGGAGAACGGAGTCCTGGCTTGGATGACATACATGGTGACGGGGCTGTGGTTGTCAGGCCCGGGTCTCCAGGACAGCTGGGCAGTGGTGTCCGTGATCTCGTCTATGGTCACGGCCTCTGGGGGACCCGGAGGACCTGGCAAAGAGTGAGACCCCCGAGTCAGATCAGTATGACAAATGACCTAAATGACCCACCAGACGTTTGATTCCCTCCCCGACTCCTCACTTCTCAAATCCTTTATGACCACCTGCTAGGGGTTGGGACCTGTGCAGGGCTCTGGAAGTACCCAGATCAATGAGGCGTGCCCCCGGCTTCCAGGGGTCTCTGCATAATAAGGAAAGCCGCCAAGCAGAGCCTTACAGGAGAGTATTTGTCCTGATGTGAGGAGAGAATATTGGGCCACCTAAGGGTCCAAGCTCATTTCTCCATTCATTATATATATGTGTGGGTTCCTCCTGTGGGTCATGGGCACTGCTCTCTGGGGACACGGTGGTGACAAAAGATACACAACTCTTCCTGATTTCGTGATCATTCTCTGCTGAAAAGGGTCCTTTCGGTCACCAAGGATGTGTGCATTGGAGCAGAACTAGCTTTAAAACTTTGAGGGTCACTGCCTTGCTCTGTAAAATTCTGCCTTACGGGGATGACTAACACCCTCGCTCCTCCCCGTGTCCAGTAGGGCCACACGCTGGTGTGCAAGGGGGACGGCTGTGAATAGGAGCAACGCTCCTGAGTCACAGACTCCTCTTTCTTCAAAGCAATGTCAGAACTGGGTGAGCGTCTGAAGGTCCTCCCAGGTCCTTTCTGCAGGTCACCGCTGTGTTTTTCTTCTCACCCCTCCCAACTCTCCTTGTTTCTGACCAAGCCCTTAAGCCCCGGGAAGGAGGGGAAGTCAGACTTAAATGCAAGCGTGGGAATGATAAACAATCAGAGGAGTGGACAGCAACTGGCAGGCAGACCAAAGAGCAACAGGCGCAGGGCAAAGACCCAACCAGATGCATCCTGGTTTCCAACAGGGAAATTTCCGCCCAGGCAGAAACAAGACACAACTGAGCGTCTCAGGAGAGATGGGGGTCATAAGGGGTCAAGGGGAAAGAGATACTCCTAAGAGGGGTTTGCTGATCTCCAGGAGAGCAATCCGATGCCCTCCCCAAGTACCACTGGGCCATGTCCCAGAGACAGGGAAAAATAAGAGACCTCACCCAGAGGCTGCAAAGTCGGAATCAATTTCCCCCGAGTCAGACTTTGCTCAGGGATTCACTGCTTCTCCCTGTAGGGGGCGCCCTAACGTCCTCTTTCCTTTTAAAACATACCATCTTTATAGATGCACAGATGATACCAGATTTATCTTCTCCTTCTAACTCTTGGCTAAGGAATCTGGAAATCTGAAACTGATTGATTTTCCATGGTGACATTTCAGCCTGCCCATCTAAAGTCACCCAGCTGGGGCTGAGGCAACCTTGGGTCTTTGGGATTCTTATTAACCAGGTAAATCTAGACAACAATATCCTCTTCTTCCTATCTATCTCTCCTTCACCTCCCCTCTTCCTTCCTTCCTTTCTGTTATGGTTTAGACGTGATGTGTCCCCCCAAAAGACAACGTAAGAATATTCAGAGGGGGGAATGATTAGATTGTGAGAGGTGTGACCTGATCAGTTGGATTAATCCACTGATGTGGATTAAATGGGTGGTAACTGTAGGCAGGTAGAGTGTGGATGGAGGAGGTAGGTCAATGGGGTGTGCCTTTGGGGTTATATATATTGTCCCCAGTGAGCAAAATGATAACATGGTCAGGGGTGCATACAAGTTTTTTTTTTTGTGTGTGTGACAAACAAGAACAGAGGGATGGTTGGTTGGGTTGAGGCTGGTGTCTGCTGCTTGCTCAGGGGTGGCTTTTGAAGGTGCTGCTATGGATTGAGGAGAGGGGGAGACCCAGCCCTCAAAGCCATACTCGATTCAAACATCAAAATCTCTCGCAGGCTCCTGTAAGGGTCTCTCTACTGCAATGTGCAGAAAGTCTGCCCAGACAAAGCAGGAGGAGATAAGATGAGAGATTAGGGTTTAAAATGGCATATTAATTTATTGGCCTTATTAACTGATTAGAACTAGATTTTCTTTTAGGCTGCGTTTGCAACTTCGATGTTATTCTCTGTGAAATGAAGTATACAATATCATTTAAGAACTTCAAGTATTACTGATTTAAATATTTATCAGTCTAATTTATTGGCGTTTAAACGGCTGATCTGAACATTATCCTAATTAAATAGAGGATAAATCTCCGGCAATAGAATCCTTTTGTCCCTAAGGAGAGAGCAGATCGACTCTGGTGTATTTTTTTTTCTTTTTAAGTAGAATTAAACATGTTTCTGTTAAGATATTCTGTGGGCAGATCAACCTAAGTTATAAGATTTTTTTTTCTTCTTATCTGCACCATGACTAAATGATTTTTTTTAAAAGGCAATTTAAAGGTAACCAAAGCATACACGAAATAAATGCTACTTTTCTTTAAGCTATCTTTAACCTTATTTAAGGTGCTAATTCCTACACATCTCCCTGTCACCTTCTACCGAGAGGATGCAGTGCAGAACTGGAGGTATTTCCCACCATGCCTTGTTCCCTGGTTCACCCTGCCTCCAATGCTGATCTCCTGGATCTTTATTTTCTTGCTCTCAAAGCTCCACCTGAGCTCAGCTGCTGGCTAAAGAAGGCTTGACACCTAATAGTTAGGAATTCTGACCAAGGAGCTGCAAGCCAAGATATTATTTTCATGTTCTGGGTTGGCTTCATCTTTATTTTTATTTTCTTTATTCAATTTTTTTTTTATGGTGCTGGGGATCCCACCCAGGGTCTCATGCATGCGAGGTGAGCCCCCTTATCCCTGACCTACCCTCCTGACCCAGCTTTTATTTTTAATACTTAGAAAATCCCCGAGCATGCACCAGCCGGATTCTGGTATGCACCCTGGTTCACTAGTACTTTAATTTTTATTTAAAGGTATTTCTTGAAAATCCACTAAGCGGAACTTGGAACGGGCTCCGTGGGCGTAGCTTAGCTTAGGTCCAGGTTACATCAAGTTGGCGACACTCGAGAGATTCCCACAAATGCTAGTTTTTGCTATTCACCTCAGCTTATTCGCTACATCCCAGGCAACCAAAGGGGTGTTTCCTGTCACCCCTAAAATTATATTTAAAAAAATTCAATTAGTTTTACAAGAAAAAACGAATCTGGTAGCAGTCTGATATAAACTTCTTAAACTACTGTTCGAATAGCCGCCCAGAACACTGTGGGTTAACCCAGAGGAGACCAGAAAGGCCCAGGTGAAACCCTTTTGAGACTGTTGGCTTTGGTTAATCTAAAGTCATTCTAGGAAATCACAGGGACCCCAGCTGCCCTGATTTGGAATTTGGGGGTGCTTGCAGGCGTCACTTTCAGTATAAAGAAACTGGGCTTGCTCGTTATAGCTTCTGACATTGCCCCAGGAGGAACTTCTGGAGACTTCTGGGGACTGGTAACTCACCACTGCTAACATGTAGTTCATGTCTTTTTTTTTTTTTTTTTTTTAATTTCCTCTATACTTCGGAACCACTGAGGTCTTAGAACTCTGTGCCAGAGTAGATATCACAAAAAATGTTTTAAGGACAAAAGATCGGCGGGGGGCGGGGGGGGTCTGAAAAAAATCCAATACCTCTTACAATCAGGTCTGCTGTAGCCGATAACTTGTCCACACTGGTTTGGACCATGCAGATGTATTTCCCAGCATGCTTCAGTTGGATGTTTCGGATCATCAAATCTCCAGCTGAGTCCTGCTGATAAAGTAGGGGAAAGTGGGCTACCATTACTTTTTAATGAGCTCTAAACATCCTCCGCACATGAAGGACACGGTGACTAATGGATTTATTTTTACGCCGGCTGATGACAACATTAGCGACGTGCAGGCCGTGGCCTGTGGATGCTCCTGATTGACACATCGCAGCGCCAACGCCTTCCGATGGCACCTTCCAGAGACCTCAGGTGTGTGGCCTCTCGGGCTCCCTGGAACACTCTGCCACCATAAGGTGGCTCCTGATCTGGTCCAGGGGGTTTCTCCGACATGTCCTCCCTTTGTCCTCTGGGTTGTCATTCCAACACTTTGCAACTCCACATTTGGAAAGAGGAAGCAAACCGCCCACCCCCGTTTGGAGGCTTTTGGCAATTTCCTGTAGAGCCTTGTTCTACAGCCAGCAATTTTGATTGCTCCCAGGTTTGAATTAAAGGATTATGAAGACCAGACTCCCCAGGGAAATCTCCCATCACCTAGTGTGGAACGGGTGCTAATTTGTTTTCCAAATGCCAAATGCATGTTTGATTAGCAGATGAATAGGACTAATTACATCCCCCGTCGGTCTAGAGATGTCTCTGTGCCCCAGAAATAATTCTACAGCATTCAACAGCGTGGGACTTCTAATAAACAGGAGAGATCCCTCCTCAGGCTGGCACAAAGGGGGCATTTGAATGAAGGATTCTGGTTTCTTATCCCTGTTCATCAAGAGCCTGGTGAATATCTGCTCAAGCATAGGTCCATACCGCAGGCCAAACTCCCAAAGAATAGCAAAATAATTTACGGTCTACCCGTCCACCCGAGTGTTCCCATTCCAAACCCCAGAATGGAAAGCGGACCCAGACCCTGAAGTGCTCCTTCTGCAAATGGCCACCAACCTGGTGAGACTCAATGGTATTTTGCATATGGCGGCTACCTTTCAAGTGCTTTAGTTCTATTAACTCACTAAACACACGTTCTGAGAGGCAGGTGCAGTTTTGATTTCACAGATGAGGAAACTCTACTATAAACAGGTGAGGTGACTTGCCAACGGTCACTTAGCCACTAAAAATCGGGGCCAGATTTGAACCCACACAGTCAGCCATAGTCCCCATTCTTAATAATATTTTGCTATAGGACTCTCTAAGACCTTATTCTCACTGGGAATAAAGCAAGTCCTGAGTTTCTATCCTGTGTGTCAGTAGAACCCATCACATTCATATTTACCAAAGACAATGGAAGAAGCTACCAATGGCTGTCGGGGGATTAGCACAGAGGCCAAAGCACACAGCGAAGGGAACGCTCAAGTTTTGATACTTAGTTGTCTTGGGCGGACCCATGCTGTGTGACTTCATCGAAGTCTCTTAATCTCTCTGGATCTTAAGTTTATTGACCTTTGAAAGATGGATGTCTCGCTCCACTGTGCTGTGCGGTGAGAATCAAATCAGATTGTGCGGCTACTCAAAATCCTTTTTACAGACTGTGAAGCACACAGTAAATTTAAACTGGTATTATTGATGGCCATGATCAATTTTCTTTCTGAAACAATCATGTCAAAGACCTTAAAGCTAATTCCAGGAGAGCTATGAAATTTTTGTTTTTAAAATCTGAAAGTCTGTTACTTATAATACTTAGGATTTTCATCCAGTTTTTACTATGCACTGAACATGTCTCAGTAACAGGAAATAATAGATGCTCAACTTATTTCCTATGGATTCTGTGGGGATTAGGGAGCTGATATATAAGAAGGTGCTTTATAAATGATTAGGCAAATAGAAGGAATTATCATTACCACCACCATCATCAATATTATTATTATTGTTGTTGTTGTTTTGGCACCAGGGATTGAACCCAGGGGTGCTTAACCACTGAGCCACCTCCCCAGCCCTGTTTTGTATTTTATTTAGAGACAGAATCTCACGGAGTTGCTTAACACCTTGCTAAATTGCTGAGGCTGGCTTTGAACTCACAATCCTTCTGCCTCAGCCTCCCAAGTCGCTGGGATTACAGGTGTGCATCACCGTGCCCGGCTATCAGTATTATTATTAATGATTTTTTTACCTAAGATATTTTGTCTGGGGAAACATAATACTGGAGATATAAATATTCAAGTGACATATAACACTTGAATAGAGGTTTGGATAAAAAACCAGCCTCCCATAGGGAATATGAAAGGTGCATTGATTTTAAGATAGAAGCCACGTTGGCAGTAAGGACATGCCTATACCATCTCCTTAATTCACTTTATTCACTGGGACGTGAATGTCAAAGAGACTTCCTGTGGCCTATTTCAGAGCACAGAACCTACCATATGCTCTCTGATTTTGGGATTTAGAACGCGCTCTAGTGATTCTCCAATTTTTTTTTGCCCGGATTTGTATCTTTAAAACGAAACAAATATATAAAAAGAATAGGATCGAAGTAAGAATTTCATAGAAAGAGACTTTCCCTTGGAACCAACCAGACCAAACTGTTCAGGGAGATCTGCACCGATGCTCTTACCCAGGACGACAGGGCCATCTTATCTCCTTGACCCCCACCCCCATGGTCTGATCTGTTCCCGACAGAGCCCTTGAAAGTGTCAGAGGCCACTCTCCAGCTACCTACCCTACAAAGGGTGGCCGTCAGCCACATGTAAGTGATTACGAGGACATCCAATTTGATTGGGGCACTTTACCACTGAGCCACATCCCCACGCCTTTTTATTTTGAATTTTGAGACAAGGTCTCATTAAATCGATGAGGCTGGTCTCAAACTGGCAATCCTCCTGCCTCAGCCTCCTGAGTGGCTGGGATTACATGCACGCATCATGTTGTCCAGTTTCAGAATGGTTCTGATAGACACAAACTGTGACTTGTTTCTAGATTTAACCTTGTTATGTATTTATTGATAATGTGCACTGTGAAAAGTAAGGCCTTTCAAAAATCAAGCACTTGGAACAAAATTGCCTGCAAGTAATACGTAGCCTCACCAGACTTTCGGAATCAAGAAAGCAAATCCTGAATTTGCAACCATGAGTCTTCTGCAAGAGCCAAGGGGAGGGATAATCAGTCGTCTAAAGACATACGAGGTGACTATTCTGAAGTTCCTTCTCTAACCAGGTCTAGAGTCAAGTGCATGGATTGGGGCACAGAGCTTGGGGCTTTGAAGTTTAAAGCAGAGTGTGGCAATCTAGGAACTGGAAGAACGTGACGTCATACGACAAGTCCTAGGAGCGTCAGTCTCCTCCTTCACACACAGGAACACATGACCAGCCTGTGGGATTGCTGGGCACAGTTGACGTTAATACTTACCCCTCCGACTCTTTCAAAGTGGTCCCCGTCTCGGTCGAAGTCTATCAGGTGTCCGTTAAAGGACCACGTGAAGACGATGTCCAGGGAGTGATCGTGGGTCACCTGGCATGGCAGGACGATGCTCTCTCCAACCGTGACGTCCATGCTGGAAGGGGGGACCATCACCCTGGTGGGATCTGAGAGTGGAAACAAGACCAGAGACAGACAGACAGCGTGGTGGGCCTCCAACCCCGCACCCGGGAGGGAGCAGGCAGGAGTGGCTTGGCTTTGGGTTTTTTTGGCTTGGGCTGGGACCCGTCAGCCTCAGTCATCTGGGAAGCCCAGATGTGAGCCAGGAAGTCGTTTTGAAGACAAAAAGATGAGACTGCTCATTATGTGAACCTTCCCCAAGTGACGGAACCCAGCCGGGGAGCCCTGAGGTTGAATCTCTGCAGATGCTCGGGGAAAACAGAAAGTAGGTTCTGGTAACTTTGCATTTTCAGTAAAGCTACACTCCACCACGGAGCCCCATCCCCAGCTCTCTTTTGCATTTTATTTAGAGACAGGGTCTCACTGAGTTGCTTAGGGCCTCACCATTGCTGAGGCTGGCTTTGAACTCCCTATCCTCCTGCCTCAGCCTCCAGAGCCCCTGGGATTACAGGCAGGGACCAGCGTGCCCAGCTATCAATTAGTTCTTAAGGTCAACATTTACATGACAGTTTTGCTGGGGGTGGACAGGCTTGTTGATCGGAGACAGTTCATAAACTCCCAAGTTATATTCACAAACACCTAATTTCTTACCCTCCGAGGCCAGATGATCTCATCACGTGTGTCAGAGAGCACAAGGGGCGGCAAAGGGTTGGAATCAAATATAAAGGCCGCATCACTGCCTACAGGATCGACATTCTGGATTCAGCCCATATTCCAGAAAATTCTCAATACTAAACCAAAACCAACCAAATGACGGCAAATCAGATGAATCCAAACCAGACCAGGCAACAAGAGAACAAGGACGGATTCTCTCCTATAGTCGCAGACCTATGTTTCTGACTGTGAACTAGATGAATATTCATAAAGTGAACTTGTTTAGATGAAAATCTCCTCTGGACAATTCGAACTGATCTTTCATGGGGGACTTTAATTTTGGTATCGCGTTATCTTTTTTAATTGACACGCGATGTCTGTGCCTGTTTATAGGCTGCCATGAGGCGTTCTGATGCACGTCTGTATTCTGTACTAACCAAATCCATTCCCCTCTGTCGATCATCTCCAGCATTTATTGGGGGGCCCTAGTTCTCATCAAAGCACGCTCACATTCCCGCTACCAAGACACGATTGGTCACAGAGTTCTTCCCTTTTATTCAATCATGGAGAGAAAACACCTCTGGTTGTTATAAAGAGAAGTCTCGGTCCTAAGCAGTTTCTCATCGAGTGGTAGAATATGCTTTGGCTTGTTTCCCCCCAAATAGGGCAAAATTGTGATAAGTGGCACTTCTAGTCACTACGGGATGAGTGACATTTCTGAAATGAGAAGTGAATAGCGGGTCCTGCCAGCGACGAGGTAATGGGACAGAAATCCCCTTATTTCAAAGCCTAAAGCTTTTGTAAGCCACATAATAAAAATCTATTGATTCACTCACCCTCAGGAATAGGTAGGTACAGCCCAGGATTTTTATTTTATTTATTTTATTTTTCGACTGGGGGAAGGAGGTAAGAGCAAATCTTATTGTAAGCAAGATTCTAGGAAGAGCCCCTGCCTTTGGTGAATTTTTTTTTTAATTTTATTTTTTGGTGTCAGGGATGCTTAGCCACTGAGCCACATCCCCCAGCCCTTTTTATATTTTATTTTGAAACAGGATCTTATTAAGTTGCTGAGGGCCTCACTCAGTTGCTGAGGCTGGCTTTGAACTTGCCGTCCTCCTGTCTCAGCCTCCTGAGTTGCTGGATGACAGGTGTGCGCCCCTGTGCCCAGTGGAATAGCCCGATTTTGAATCGACATGTCATTTGGTGTTTTTGAATTTAAATTTTCCTCACCTATAAAATGAAGACAGACAGTCTTAGGCTAAAACCATATATCTTTATGATTTTTTTTTTTTTTGGATGGAGAGGTTCCCCAATTCTACTTTGGATAGCTGATTTGGCAATTTATTTTTTCATTTGAATAATCATTCATTTGTTCATTTATCCAACAAGTATGTCTCACTGGATATCATACATATAAAAAGGAATAACAGCAGTCATGATTGCTAAGTCCCTTGCTGATGTTAAGTTACTGATTTCATTTATAATTATTTCATTTATTCCTAACAAACACGTTCTATCATCAACCCTATTTTTAAAAATATTTTTTTTTGTTGCAGATGGACACAGTATCTTTATTTATTTACTTTTATGTTGTGCTGAGGATCAAACTCAGTGCCTCACACATTCAAGGCTCTGCCACTAGCTATAATCCCAGCCCCACCAACCCTATTTTTAACAGATGAAACTCATGCCCAGGAGTGTTAAGAACTGTCTGCTATTCTGCCTCTCTTCATTTATTTTTCTATTTTTATTGGTACTGGGGATTGAACCTAGGGATGCTAAACCACTGAGCCATGTCTCCCACCCTTTTTTAAAAATATATTTTTTTGAAAATATTTATTTTTTAGTCATAGGTAGACACAATATCTTTATTTTGTTTTTATGTGGTGCTGAAGATTGAGGCGAGTGCTCTACCACTGAGCCAAAACCCCAGCACCACCCCCGCCCGCCCTTTTTATTTTTTATTTTGAGACAGGGTCTCATGAAATTGCTGAGGCTGGCCTCACACTTGTGATCCTCCTGCCTCAGTCTCCTGAGTTGCTGGGATTGCAGGTATGCACCACCACCACACTTTGCTTCATTTAGCCGAAAGCATGATATTCATTCACAAATCATCCAGAGAGAAAGTCTAAGGGCATAATCTAGCAATCTGCACTCTTCAGTGTGTGTCGTCAACTGAAGATATTTTAATGGAGAAGGAAATTCAAAGAATCCCTGCCATGGGTTACAACTGGTTTCAGAGGCTACAAAAGAAATGAACTTCCTGCCTTCGACAGGTAGCACGCAGGGGTGATTTCAGGTCTAAAGTGCTAGCTGTAGCTCTAAGCTTACACATGGAACTTGGAGTGTACAATCAGCACACCTATACCACTGAGCCACACTCCTGACCACCTGTCTCCCACTTTTGATTGGCAGCGATCTCCTGAAGAAACTGTTCAGCACTTTATGCACATGTAGGGGTCTGGGACAGGTGTTATTATTATTTTTTTTTATTAAATTGGCAAATTCAGCTGCCTATTAACCAAGGACCAGAGAAGTCCCTAAAATAAAGGATCATGTTGGTACAGTTGCTAAGCTGACAGCCACTAATTCATTAATCGAGCACTTGTCGCCGATTTGCGTTGTGAGCTCCAAAGCAGCAAGAATCAATGCAAAATAAGTCATACGCTGTACACACACCAGAGAAGTCTCTTCGGGACTAGAGAAGATTAAACTAAAGAGGTTTAGAAATCTCATTAGCTTCTTGGTTTTCTCAGAGTGTATGTTTCCTGAGTGCTCTTGTTTACCGCGTTATGAGTTCTGATACTTTTTTTTTTTTTTACCGGATTAATTTCCTTCAATTTCAATACAAGCGCTGTACACAAACAAACAGATGGCTTCTTGCGAAAACAAACTGTCTCCCTTCCTTTGGTTTTAATTCATCAAGATCAGCAGGAACCTATATTTCTGACTTCTGTTCTGAAGAGAGTCACTCTAGCGACCGTTCTGTGCAGAGAACTCTCAGAGGCAATTAGAACTCGAGATGCAAATTCGTGGCTGGATTTGGACGTAATTAGCAAAAATAAGTAAGATCAATGACACCCCTCAGTCAATGTTCATTCTTGTGGTCGGTTCCTACAGGAGAGAATGACATCATTGGGACTCTTGCTTAGAAATTTATGTGCCAAGTGCTCACCCACCCTAGTGCTCACAAACATTCTTACTTTCTACAGTGTTTTCTATAACATATAGATGACAGTTGGTAAACTGCTTTGTTGTAGAGGTTGTAGCAGCCATGGAAACAGGTTACTTATTAAACACTCTGTTAACGATGACACCAACAATTCCTTGCACCAATTCCAAGCGTACAGCAGGCATCCAAGCCATGGAATTTTCTGACTTTGGCTGATGGCGAAAAGATTTCCTGAATTAGAGCTATTCTCTGTAAAACAAGTCTTTGGGGTTAATGGGACAAGAATTCAATTTCAATGAGGTTTTGCCTATTCGATATCAACCATCCCATTTCCATTGATAACTTTTTTAACATTTCATTTATAGTGCTAAGATAACCCCTTGGTGTCTTTTAGTTTAGTTTTGTTTTTTTTCCCCAGTGCTAAGGATGGAACCCAGGGCCTCACACATGCTAGGCAAGTGCTTTTCCACTGATCTATATGCCCAGCCTTCCTTGGTGCCTTTTAAGAAATAATGTGTTTTAGTCATCTTAATGCATTTTCTCCGGTAAGCAAATTTCTTAAGTGTAATGGTTTTGACAGTGTTCTTAGTAGGGGTTTTTTTACATACATTTTTTTTTATAAGGAAACATTTGAAAAATGGATTTCTTCAAAGGCCTGAAGCTCATCAAGGAGCTGAGAGTCAGTTTATCTCTAAAGCCACAGGGCAGAGGGACAGAGAACTATTTTTAACAACATTTAAATGCTGCAACAACGATTGTTGATGACTGATGGCAAAAACCCTTCAGGAAACATCTCTGTAGATGAAGTTCAGCATTGTAGGGTTGAACCCACTTAAACAAAACTCAGTGCTGCATACATTATATTGACCAATTCTGCATAAAACACATGTTTGAATGAAAGATCATGAATACATGAATATTAGAGATGAGAATTGAGATTCATAGTGAGTCTAAGCTGGGCCAACCTTCATATATATATATATATATTTATTTTTTTTTTTTTTTTTTTTTTTTTTTTCTTTTAGTTGTTGATGGACCTTTAATTAATTTATTTTTATGTGGTGCTGAGGCTCGAACCCAGTGCCTCACACATGCCAGGCAAGCGCTCTACCACTGAGCCACAACCCCAGCCCATGGGCCAACCTTTTTATCCAGAATGAAAGTTCACAGGGATTAAGGCAAAAAAGCTACACTTAAACAAAGCTGCTGCATACACACCGT